CAAACTTTTTTTTGTATCCAGCCTTCTGCAGATGGTTCAAAATGGTTTGGTGACTAACTTTCATCTCCTGGGCGATGTCACGAGATGGCATATGTCGGTCTAACTCGATGTATTCCATGATTTGATCGGTATTTGTCGTCACAGGACTTTCGCCGGCTGGCTTATCCATGGTGTCGTTTTCACCGGCTCTGAATCGTCGAAACCATTCCTCCGCGGTTCGAAGTGATAGAGTATGATCCCCCAAAACACCATTAGTCTCACGGAACGTTTCTCTAGCGGATTTGCTTTTAACAAAGGAAAACTTTAAAATAGCGCGAATTTCGGCGTTAGTGAACTCCATGTTTATACATCTATAACTGTTGAACGCAATATCCAAACTAATCATGCATAGCGNTACTAAAATATTATTTTTTAATTTCGTAAACGAATCTCTTTCATTTCTTAACAAATTTGCAGATTTGATGAAGATAACAACGGTTCTATTAATATGACGGAATTTTTGCTGAAATTGCGGGTAAGCATATTCACTTTAAAAATCAAATACTTCACATTTTAAATTTTGTGCGGATATTATAAATATATGTTCATATATATGCACAAGGAGCATTCTAAAGTAAACAGGACTTTTAAAAAAAGGCAGAACAAATGGTTTCATCGGCAAAATCAATTAATTTTGCACGGTCCAAAAGCATGTCGAACGAGTGTTTTAGCTCGTTGTCCGGTATGGCCGCCGGTATGTTGGTGCAAGCCTTTTGAATGGCCTCCACGTCTGCATAACGCTTTCCTTTCATCGGCAAATGCATTTTTCCGAAAAGGTAGAAGTCGCACGGTGCCATATCTGGTGAATACTTGGAGTGGTTGATTGTTAAAATGTGAGTTTTGGTCAAATTATAGGCCACAAGAGTCGATCGATGAGACGGCGCATTATCGTGCAACAAACGCCAACTTCCATCTTCGCGATATTCGGGCCGAAAACGTCGAATACGGCGCACCAAACGCTTCAAAACTCCAAGGTAGAATACCGCATTAACGTTTTGGCCGGGTGGAACAAATTCTTTGTGGACAATACCCTCGGAATCATAAAAACAAATCAGCATTGTCTTCACTTTTGACTTCTCCAGGCGCGATTTTTTGGCCTACATGTTCATCGTCATTTATGTCCTCACGACCACTTTGAAATCGTTGAAACCACTCGTGCACTCTGCTACGGGATAGGCAATCATCGCCATAAACTTGTTTCATAAGTTGATACGTTTCGGTAAAAGTTTTACCAATTTTAAAACCAAATTTAATGTTGGCTCTTTGTTCGAAGCCCATTTTCGCACCGATGACAAAAACATACTGACACTTAAAACGCAATAACTTCACTTCCAATAGATGAAATGTCATGAAATTTTTAGTGGAAGTCGATAAAGGATAGCAGATTCTAACGCACTAGTCGACATATAGATGGCGTCATTAGATTTTACTTTGTTACTTTTTTACTGTTTACTTTGGAACGCACCTTGTATTATATATTACATACATTTTTCTAAATTTTCTCAAACCTCACCTCAACGTGCACAGCCACCAATGCCACAGTCACGCTTGGATATCATCGATAAAGCATTTAAGAAGATCGATCGCACCGGTGACGGTCAAATCACTATTGAAGACTTGAAGACCGTCTACTCCGTGAAGGATCATCCCAAATATCTGAGCGGTGAAATGACTGAGAACGAGATACTCACACAATTCCTCAACAACTTCGAGGGCGGACGTGGCAACTGTGATGGCAATGTGTCGAAGGAGGAATTTGTTAACTATTATGCAACAATTAGTGCTTCAATTGATAATGATGCCTACTTCGATTTGGTGATGCGACGCGCTTATAAACTGTAAATATAATCCGATGTAGGAGTAACTCAAAAGCGCTGCCATAACAATAAAAGCAATGCTTGTTACAAGCATAAAAAAACAAAAACGGAGCAGTTGACAGCAGCTGGCATTTTTAAGGCTTATAACAACAACAACTATTAATTAATTAATAAAAACAAATTTATAAATAAAAATATTAAGGTGTTGAGTCCTGACTGTGTGTGCGTACAATCTTTTAATACTGATAACAAACTTTTAGCTAGGAACCGCTGTAATGAAACAAAAAATCTTTATTTACATTTAATATGAATACATCATTGTATATGCTATTGTATTTATCTTTTGTTATAAATTGTTACAACATATTAACGTACAATTTTGCGTGCACAAATAAATTTATTGGCAATTTATAATACAATAAAGAAATTATATATTGAAAATAATGTGAAGGATTTCCTATTGTGCTTTGGTATTAATTTGCTCACTGTGAAAATATATTGTAAATATTTTTATAACGTATGCGACCAAATCTCTAAAGCCTTTATTAAGGTTTCTTTTTAGAGAAATATTATTTATATTACTATTATTTGATTATGGGATATATTAAACAGGTTTTCACACAGAAGTAAAACGCATATAATATAATGTTATGACCAAGAATTTAGCTTTATTATAAAGACAATGGTTTTGAAACTATGTTTTAAGTGACCGCCACGACTAGCTCTAATAAATTCCGACCGAGAGTCCTAACTCCGATCTCTTTGCAGCAATTGGAGCCGTATGTCAGCAATAACACGCCGAATATTCCCTTCCAAGACGTCAATTGTCTCGGGTCTATTGGCTCATTTAAAGTTTCCTTCAATAAACTGAACCATTGATTCTCTCTGGCCATAGAGCAAACAGTGACATTTTGAGGATTTACGGGCGTCTCAACAATGGCTTATAGATTATCATCATTCTGACAAATGCGACAATTTCGTTTATTGACGTACACATTCAACCTGTACGCTGTCTCTGAGGATGTGTTCTAATTACCGACTCTGTTGGGCGATTATATGTATATACCTAATATTGCGCACGGCGCGCGGTGCTTTGTTAAGGATTTATTCAATCCGGACTATATAGGGTTCAATTAAAGGCGAGTAACATGGTGGACCTTCAGTGAAGTCACTTTGACTTATTAAATTTAAGTATCCTGTGATGTCAGAAATGTGCTGCGTATCTTTAAGGTTATTAATGATTCGATTTCGTTCCATATATATAAATATCAAAAAATATGTCAATAGCGTAATTCAACATGAATTCTATATTCACAGCTCTAATTGAATAAATTGAAAACTGTAAAAAGTGAAAACTAAATCTCGTACGAAAAACACGGGACCACAGATAAAAACAGACAAAAACGGATGGAACAGCGCTTGGAGTATTTGTCAGCGGCATTATCTTAATAGGACAAATCAGTATCTTCTTTTTTAGATCAGGGCCCTTTGAAAATGGTAAAAATTGAACATAAATAAAGGTACGATGAACCCAAAGGGAAAGAAATAGAATATGACGAAAATGAAATTTTTTAATGTTGAAGTAAATACCTTCTTTAAAAAACCGATGGAAAAATTGTATATCAAATAAACAGGTTTTGCGTTTTTGTTTATCTTCAACAAATTTTTTTTTCTTTCAAAAAATTTGTCTCAAACGCAAAATTAATTTTTTTATTGCAATTTGATTATTATCGGAGAAGGACCTTAATTTGTAAACATAATATTTCTCGGTGAAATATCTCTTTTTAAAGTCGGTAAACTTTTTCTTCGTCGAAATTTCTACTTTGTGATGGTGTAAACAACAAAAAATGCTAACTTTGATTGCACCGAAGCTGTCCCTTAACAGATACAAGAACTTGATTCCGATCGTTCAGTCTGTATGGCAGATATATGATAATGTGGTCCGATATCGTTCCGACAAATAAGCAGTTTCTTAGTGAGGAAAGAATAGATGCGAAATTTCAGATCGATAGCTTAAAACTAGTGCCTCAGTTTCGTATATATACAGACAGACAGACGGACATGGCTCATGATTTATGTATATACTTTATAGGGTCTCCAGCTTTTCCTTTTGGGTGTTACAAACTTCGTGGTAAACTTAATATACCCTATTCAGGGTATAAAAAAGGGAAAACTTTAGAATACTGTCCCAGGATTTCGGGGATAAAATGGTTATGAGCGGATAGAGGGACTTCCTCCAGATCAAGAATATATAGAGATATAGCCGGGGAAAACGTAAAGTTTTCCGAGTTATTTGCTGTAAAGTTGAAAATCTCAACTACTTAAAGTACGCATTTTTTTCAATTTACAATAAAATGAATTTTACACTTATATTTATTTTATATCCACTAACACTTCATTAATTCGTTTTTACACATTTATTTTACATTTTATAGTGCAGAAATAGTTTTAGTTAAATATTTAACTTATTGTTCAATTCTATTAATTCCCACAATAACAAAAGGGTTGAAATGACACATAACCAGTGTTATCTTATCGACATCTTTTGTAAATGAACTGAAAGAAAATAAAACAGATTATACCCCAAATACAAGAATCCAAAACTTAAAAAAATAAAATATTAGTAAATTATTCCAATATAATAAAACGAAACTGTTTATTCTTTGTTTCAAAAGTAGCAGTAGGAATATCCGTTAGAGAACATTCATTTTAAAGATGATTTATCAAGTGAAGGAAAATAATAAAAAATTTAGTATTGTTCATTAACGATTATGGTTCCGATATTTAGGGTGTCATCTTTCTTTTATGTTATTTATTTTCTCTTGTTTTTTTTTTCATTTTTCTGGAAATCGAGATAAACCCTTAAAAACTCAATCACGGGAAAGGGGGCTTCCTCTTTCCGCCATCAGATCACCCGTAATTTATTTTTCGTTCCATTTTTGCCACATTCGCTTTTTATACTCTCGCAACTTGTTGCTACAGAGTATAATAGTTTTGTTCACCTAACGGTTGTTTGTATCACCTAAAACTAATCGATTAGGTTGGTTATCTAATAGAGTTATATATATTATATAAATGATCAGGATGAAGAGACGAGTTAAAATCCGGGTGACTGTCTGTCCATCCGGAGGGGCATCCGTAGCTAACATTTTTTTTTAAAGTGGGCGTGGTCCCGCCCCTAATAGGTTTAATGTGTATATCTCCTAAACTGCTAAAGCTATAATGTAAAAATTCGCTGAAAGCAAATGTTTTAGCACCTCTACTTATAGTGTGAAAATGGGTAAAATCGGGTAACATCCCCCACTCCTCATATAACGGTACTGTTAAAAAATACTTAAAGCGCGATAAACCAAGCACTAAACAAGTCAGAGACATTAAGTTTTATCTCGAGGATGGTATGAGATGACTTTATAGGAACCGCGTTCAAAATTATTCAGTGGGAGTGGCACCGCCCACTTTTAGGTGAAAACCCATATCTTGGGATCCGATTAACCGATTTCAAACACATTCGGTACATAACATTCTTCTCATATTTCTATGTTATAGTGTGAAAATGGGCGAAATCGGACTACAACCACGCCTGTTTCCCATATAACACCATTTTAAATTCCATTTGATTCTTTCACTTTCCAGTATGCAAATCAAGCAACAATGATTGTATCGGGGTAAAAATTTGCGTGAATAGTGCGTTTAAAGTATGCCACCTTGTGACCAAAAATTATCTAAATTGAATCAAAACTGTTCAATCCCCTAGGTACTGAATATGTGGACCCCAGTGCCTATAGCTAACTTTTTACCGAATATCGGTCAACATATAACAAAAAATCTAAAACGGCTTAGCCCTTCCTTACTTGTTTTCATTGAGTTCCATCCTAGCATTATTATTATTAATTTTTTTTTTTCGTTTCGAATATTATGCACATTGTATATAGAGTTTGTATTTGGAATGAATACATGAAACCCAGACGTAAAGTATTCAAAATATGCTTTCCTGCGTCGAATACGTCAATTGTCGACGAAAGATATAATATAAGAAGGCTGCGCCGAATTCGTTGAAGCATTTGCAGCGTGAGTCAGGTAGAATAATAAGGACTTTTCTATGGCTCTATACACCCACTCGTTAGCTAATACGATACATATCGAACTTAATTCATGTGAAGTCATTACCAGCAAGACAATTATAATATGAAACTGACGCAGTATGCAATTTAAAACGACAAATTCCATGTACCAATTCAGCGAAAATACTGTTATGCCACAGTTGTTAGTATGAACTATCGGAATTATAGCACGCATGTTGCTATAAGCATCTATTATATCACATACATACATATACTGGAGCGAAGTGTTAATCAGGTTCATAAAAGTCAAGTTGTTCAAAAGTCGCTACATGGCTTTCGCAATAACATGTTCGTGTGATTCCCTATCAATAGTTTACTAATTAGTGAAGCAACTCCATACTTACATATGTACATTTACCTATGTATATATGCACAAATTGACATGTACGTAATACTTTTATATGGTAATCGGCGGAGGCTCTGTTAACTTGTTCGTAATATTGCGTTTCAACCCCAACACCCAATATGGTAAGGTGGTAATTAACGGGAGCAATGGAAATAAGCAAAGTCAAATCTCAAAATCTTTGAGAGCGACGATTACTACTACTATCAATTTATATTTCAGCCGAGACAAAGATCTCAATTATAATAAGTAATGAAGGGCTAAGTTCTCGCAAGTTTCAAAGATCAAAGTCGGGGAAATACTCTCAAGTATTGTTAAAGCTTTTATACGTTATCGTGTTAACTAAAAGTATAGGTCATTTAAATAAATACAAAATATCTGGAGGCCGGGACACCATTATATAAGAAGTATGAATTTGGAATATTGCCATGCGACAGGTCTACGCTAATGCTAATATAATATTATAAAGGAGCTTGCGTGGTGCGCACACGCTGAATTTAGCTGGAGTCGATTCGGCTGAATGCTGTCCTCAAGCAATAACTTTTTTTTACTGTAAAATTTTTTTTCAATATCAGCACACAACGTTGGAAAATTCTAAAATCCAATTCATTTCACTGTCTTTTTAATACAAGACAGATCGCCAGAATTGATGCCTTCAAGCCATTTTCTAAAAATCTTCCCGGATTGAAAAAGGCTTTTATGGCTAAAACTTGTCGAGACGTTGCTAGCATTAACGTGTTTTGAGTGCGTTTTGATGGCCTCCGTATGGTTTAAAATCGTTCAGTCAATCAATGAAAGAAACTTTGTTTCTTAAGATATCAATA